TGCTCTGGAAAGTAGCCAATAGGCAGTGTCAGTGTTTTATTATTAATAAATAATAAGATACATTTACTTTGTATAGTACTTTTAGGGGGGAAAGTAGAAGAAAACAAACAATAAAAGAACAAACACATGCTAAAGACTCAGCATAACAATGGAGGCCCAGTCAGAGTGATGGAAAGGATCAGCATGTGTGTGATCCATCAGTCAAGCAAAATGTATATGAGTGGAAAAATGCCCATATATCATTGGGACAAAGAAGAGCCAGCAAAATAATAGACAGAACTGTACTGTATGTCTATTCATCACACACGGGCAGAGTTTGGGGTTTGCCAGGGGTGTTGCAAGTTAATAGTAATTTAGCTTCCGTCATATACAAGCCATCATCCATTTGCAAGCGTACCATCCCTGCAGAGATTACGAATAATCAGCATATAATGTATGAAAAGACTGAACAAGTGCACCCCATTAAAACTCCATGAAGATTCAAGACATCAGGCTCTCCCGGTCAAGATCTGATCCCTGTCAGTTAGTGGCATGTGCATTTATGTGCGCACACCATTTCACTTTGGTCCTTGGAAATCACTACACTTATTTCCAGCCCCATTTAAAATCTGCAGCTAAATGTGATTTGATGTGTATCCTGAAATGGAAGATGATTGGAATGAGATTGCTTCTTGTGCTCCCCGTTACCCATCTCTCGTTCCACACCTCAACTTTAAATGACTTTGTCAAGAGTGTTTTTCAGTTTCAGTCCACTGAGCTGTATGTCTCTGCATAAGGACTATAATTAAACCCATTATTTTTTACATTTGTCACATCATTTGTAAATATATAAAATCATCTTAAAGCCTTATCCTTCATTGATAACACATATTTCCAATTTGTCAAAAAGCTAGTGTAACACTTGGCTGAGACACTCGTATAACATCGGATATAACAGTACATTTTAAAGGGCTTGAATTGAGTGTTAAGGTCTTGTAAAGAAAGCTAATTCTCCTTTGCTGAAGAAATGGATTTCTCCTGAATTATTTTATATATCTCTTGTGTAAGTCTGGTAGACTTGCTAAAAATACTGTGGTGAATGGACTGAATAATCTTTAATGGTAAATTCCATTGTTTGTGTGTAGGCTCACGGCTTTTCAAACATTAATCCTAACATTTAAATTAGGCATGAAAGTAAAATTCACCATATTTATTTTACAAAATGCATCTTTTTTTATTTTATTGTGAACGATTTACCAATGCATGTTTAATTTTGTTTTATTTTGTCCTCATAATTTTAATTAAAATATCTCTATTTTCCAGAGAAACAGCATTTGTTTGCTTAAAGTGCCATTTATTTGAAAGAAAATGAATTTTTCTAGATGTCACTTTGTCTTACATCATTTCAGTCCACTGAGCTGTATGTCTCTGCATAAGGACTATAATTAAACCCATTATTTTTTACATTTGTCACATCATTTGTAAATATATAAAATCATCTTAAAGCCTTATCCTTCATTGATAACACATATTTCGAATATGAATTTCTCTCTCATATCGGCTGGAGTTTCACATCTCAACAATGATTTTATCAAGTGTGCCCAGATTTGACATAATCAAAAATTAGAGATTTCAGTTTAAAACCTCATCCTCCTCTCCTCACCAGTGCACTGCAGTGTTGTGCCTATTTTTGTTTTTTTGTTTGTTTGTTTTTATAACCTTGCAGGCTTGCTTTTAAAGGGGCTCTACCTGAAGACCTTGATTAGCTGGTTCAGGTGTGTTAAATTAGGGCTGGAGCTATACCCTCCAGGAACAGGACTGGACACCCCTGACTTAGAGAGATATATCTTACACATTTATATAAAATGTATGTAAAATATAAAATGAGTTCTGAAGAGTTTTCTCTATAGACATAAAATAAATACGGGGGCTTTCACAATAGCACTTGTGGTGCGCACCCAGGTTTGTTTGATGTCACAGTTCGATTCGTTTGGATAATGTGAAAGGTTAAATGGTTCGGACCAGGCAATCAAACCAAGTGTAAAAGCACCCTAAATAATTAAGGCCATTAGTTTTGGAGTTTCTCTTTTTTTAATGTGTTGCCTTTAAACCTCTGAACTTGGAAAGGTTACCATGCTTCATGTCCTCTCTGCCTCGTGTCAAAGTTATGAGATTTTATGTGTCATTTTAAGACATAGGCTGTCATGGTCAGTCAAGAGTAATACATCCTTGTGTCTCATTAAACTAATCCTTCCTTAAATGCATGAGTGGCCTCTTTAATGTTTCACTTCATGCATATTATTAGCATGTTGCATTTTTTCTAAGATCACAACATTTTTTCACTTTCACCCTAAATGGAAGACTGTCAGAACTGAAAGATTAAGCACCGCTTCAAGCAGAAAACTCAGGCTTAGCCACTTTCCTGAACGCAAGCTGTCAAATTGGCCCTCTCTCTTCCGCACATTCTATTTCTGATATTTTCTCATTCTTCCATTCCCTTCTCTGAGGACGATTTTTGATTGACGGGCTGGCGCAAGATGAAGTATTTTGAGCTAAGGGTCTTTTGCGCTGCAGTTCAGAAAGAGAGCAAAGCTTTGACTTTGATAAAAGGAAGTGATGTGTTTCCCTGTTGTTCAGGGTTTCATAGAAGCCACTTGACTCCTGCTCCTGTCATTGAGCGAAACATGACACAGCACCATCAGAATGCTCTGGAAGCTTTGCATCAAATCAAATCAACTGAAATGCTGAAAGCTTTTAGTAGAGATGACATTGAGTCTGATGATTGCATTGTTGTCTTTGCTGTGTCCAACCTTAATCCTATAAAGCCTTCTGTATCATATTTGATAGGCAAATTTCTAAGGCCTCTAAATTATCAACATGATCAAAACATTGCAGAAAAACACAGTTGTACACGATCTAGTATATGCCTTCTGTCGTCTGATTGATAGTTTATGCTTTTTAGCAAGTACAATTCCTTTTAGTATAATTGTGTAAAAAAAAAAACACCACATCTAAAAAAAAAAAAGTAAATGTAAGACAAAAAAATAGTACACGTGTCTTTTTGCTGTGAAATCTTTACTGATTTTCATTTGTAAAACATAAGAATTACTTTTATATTGTTAGTAATGGTTAGTAAGATGAACACTTTTAAGTAACTTAAATTTACTTGATTATATACTTTTTTTTTTTTAATCATGTTAAAATGTGATGTATCAAGCTTTTGAGAGATCTTTCAGTCATTGTATTGCATCGCATTATATGTAATGAGCTTTGTTTATAAAACTAGGCATTTCAATATCTTATTGAGACATTATTGGGAGATATAGAGTGATGATCTATATTTATATTTATTTTATGTCAATATTTATTAGTCATAAAAGCCTGATGTATTAAATATGATACTGAGCAAAAAACACATATGCAATATATATATATATTGTCTAAAGTTTCAATTAACTTCTATTTCAGAACAATACTTTTATGTCAGGCTGTAGAGGTTTAAAAGAAAAAGACTTTTGAAAAAGAGTTGAGATTATACGCAGAGATTATACAGTAAATCAGTTGCATGGGGTCTCTGAGGTGTGTTTGTTGTAATGTAAAAATATCGTCCCAAAGGAATTTTCTTTTCTGATAGTGAGTTTGTGTTTGGTTCAGAGTTTTTGACATCCTTAGCCTCCAACGTTTCTTTGAGGCTTTGATATTGCGTACTTCTGTGTCATCTCACTCATCGACTCAACATCAACCAAACACTTCACACAGCAAAAGTAGGAATTACGGTCACCTATATGACTAAAGGTGGCTATATTCTGAACCACAGAAATCCTGTTTCTACACTCTGAGCAAACTATGCCAGGATGTACTTTTAAGCAGGTATAAAATATTTTTAGTCAGCTTTGCACAGGATTGTCATCCAGCACTCAAAGCATAAGTGACATATACTGCACTAATTGGCTAGGAGGGTCTAGTTGTAGCAAACTCTCCCTGCAGTTAAGTGTCTTGCTCTAGGGTGCAAATAAATTGCAGGTTTGTAATCTCAGTAACTCATTACTTGCTGGATCACCTGGGATTGAATCTACAACCTCCACAGGACATAGTTCTGCCATAGTCACCAAGGGGCACTAAGTTCTTCACTTGTGATGAACTTTTAAGTTGGTAATCGTTTGCCCGTATTTGTGTGTACTTACTCACAGTGTAAAGCCGTGATCACAGTAAACTGTTCCCTCTATTAACTTTCATTATGCATGCAAACACAGGAGACATCAACCGCAAGCTCGTGTGGATAAGTGTTGCATTCTGCAATGTAAAAAAAGTTAAAGTTTGTTGAACTCTGACCTGTGAATTTGTATGGCAACTCATAATGGATCTACAGTAAACATCACAGATGGACCTCTTGGGTGAATTCAAAGAACACAAACTTAAAGCTGCAGGTTTGCAGTGTTGCTGGCATAGAATTTATTATTGTTTAATTATGATTTATTATTTATTCTAAACAAAAGCTTGACATGTTATCCAGGTTTGTTGCAGTCAAAGTAAAATTTACTAAAATAATAGTGCTACATAACTTTGTTCATGTTCCCCTGTGAATTTTTCATTGTCTGTGCAGATTTAAATTGGGTAACACTTTAGATTAGGGAACACATATTCACTTTTAATTGTTAAGAGTTTTCCCACAATAAACCCTTAATTTGCTTCTTATTGATAGTAATTAAAGTAGTTGTTTAGGTATGGGGTAGGGTTAAGGGACCTAAAATATGGTCATGCAGAATAAAGCATTAATATGTGCTTTATAAGTACTAATAAACAGGCAATATGCTAGTAATATGCATGCTAGAAAGCAACTGGTTAATAGTGTTACCTAATCTAAAGTATTACTTTAAAGTGTAATATTTATTGTAAATATAGACTATATGTCTTTTTTCACTTTTGTTACTGACTGAATCAAAAACCATTTGTCAAGAACATTTCATCAGATTAGTACTGCTTTTTCACAATCAATCTATTTCTCTGTGTTTTTTCTTCAGGTGGCTTCTCATTGGAGTCCTTCCTCAGCTTACAAGCGCTTGTCAAACTCTCCAGAATGAACAGGGCATTTAACAGGAGAAAGGGTAAGGGAATAGAGTTGATGGGCATTTAACAGGAGAAAGGGTAAGGTAATAGAGTTGATGTTTCTGCAATGTCAGCTGCCAATATGCCAACAAGCCTGACTGATTGATGAAGACAAATGTTCATTTATGCCAGCTGCTTGTACTACAGAATTCACTGTTACATTAAATTGACCTGAAACCAAAGTCTTTGAAGAACATGTTAGCTAAATGTTTTTCATTTGATAGCTAATTACGTTTTTTAGCTGCACCATAAGGGACGCAGTTCCTAGAGGTTTTAGCTCCCTGTAAAAACAATGACTTATTTCGTTTCAACGCATTTTCTTTGGGGAAGTAATGACTTCCAGGCCTGAATTAAAGCTCGCTGAGATGGGACGCACACTCAAGTTTCACCCCCACACATCAGGTTTTCAATGCTTCATTTCTGGCACTCATTTCTGCACTTCGTTTCCAATTCCAAACCTCCCCTACACACGCATTTTGCCTAATTTGAATAGACCTGCGGACAGACCTGGATTCATAGGTGACACAGGTGAGCCTACTTCACACAGAAAGTGTGCCTTCTAGGCTAATGTTTTATTAATGGAGATGACAGAGGAGCCTCTGGACTTGCTGGTGTGGTCACAGCCCATATTTGGTGAGTTTATCTCCAGCCACAAACACTGCAGTAGTAGGTTGCTTTGAATATTTCATAGCTCTCAATTGGGATTCACTCTTTGCCTGAAATTATTAAGTCCAAACAGACACTTTTGCACGCGATTCTCTTTTTCAGAAGATGATAATGTTGCTTAACGAACTAGAAATTATGTGAGACCTCACATTCATTGACCTTTATAGTCAGCAAGGGACACTTAACTGTGTGTAAACAGTTCTGCTGAATGCACAGTGTTAATCAAAAAAGGTTCAAAAGGAATATTAAAGATTTTAGGCAAAAATAGAAATACTGTATGAGTTCGAATGATTCATGCTTCTGCATTACATACATATTCTGAACCTGTTAAAGACTGTATCCATGTTTACATAAAAAAAATCCTGCAGTTCAGTCGGAAAGCTAAGTTTGGACTCATATTATAGAACAAAACATAAGTTTGAAAATTGCAATTCTAAAAACCATTGTAAAAGTTAACCTAGAATGTGTTTCATTGCATTCTTAGGTGATTATGTGATTGAAAGACTGGTGACATTATAACATGATATATTCTGACATTGATTAATTTAAATCAAATCAGAATTGAACTGAATCAGGAGTTTCTGAATGAGAACTGAATTAGGAAATCTGTGGCTGTTACATAAAGTAATTTTAAATTTCCAAATAAAAAAACAAGACTTGCTTTCAATTTTGAAAATGTTTCGTATGTAAGCTTCATATGTAATTTGATGTAAATAATTTTTTTTATATTGTAACAACAAAAAGCTCATATGATTTTTTTTAAGTCCTTGTAGAAAGCTCTTAGTTGGTTTAAACTGGTTTAAATCTCCCTGACTGAACAAAACCCCCTGAATAAAACTCTCAAATCAGACCTGGCTGTCAGGATCATGGACCTGTTTTGTTATGTTTTGCCCCTGTTTCTGTTCCTATGTTCCCTTATTTGGTCATGTTCCTGTCCTCGTTTAGTTAATTTTAGTCATTCTGTGCACCTGTGTTTGGTAACTGTCTTGTGTTTATAAGTTCTTGTCTGTGCATTTCTCCTCGGTCGGGCCTCTTCTCTGAGAATTCCTCAGAGAAGATCTCTCGAGGACCATACGAGACTGTTAAGGCTGTTAGCTAGCACCACCAGCTACCCGGACGACGCGCTCTGCTCATTCCATGACGCAAGCTTGAACACCGTGAGCAGAGTGACGTCGTCCGAAGATGGTCCTCAAGAGGTTTTCGCCGCCTTCGTGGATAGGATTCTGGCGAGAAACGGATCGCCATCCACCACCTGCCCTGATCCGCTACAGACCCAGTGCCCAGCCCACCATCTCCCCGCGGTGCGGAGCACTCTGCCTAGGCCCGTAGACCCAGCGGCTCCACCTCGGCTCCTAGCTCCCTCAACTCCACCGTCACCCGTCGATCCACCAGCTCCACCGGGCTCCCTCGTCCCTCCGGCTCTGCCTTGGTCGGACGTCAACCCGCCATCGCCTCAGGACTCTGCTCCTCCGGCTGCACCTCGTCGCTCCGTCCCACCGGCTCCATTGGGCTCCTTCCTCCCGCCAGCTCCACCTTGGTCCTCAGTCGCTCTGGCTCAGCTGCGGATCTCCGGATCTCCGCCTCTGCCTCGGTCGCCAGAGCCCTCGGCTCCACCCTGGCCCCCCGGATCCTCGGCATCCCCCTGGCACGTTGGCTCTCCGTCTCCACCTCAGGCTCTTCCGCCACCTGCTCCGCCGCCGTTGGTCAGCCCCCTGGAGTCGGCTGCCATTCTTCCTCCATGGCTCCTCCCTCCGTCGGCTCCACTGTGGGTCGCCATCATGGCTGTGGCCTGGGTCCTGCTTGGCTCCTCCTGATCCAAGTTCTTCCTGTTTCCTCCCTGGCTCCTCCCTCCATCGTCACCTCCCTGGTCTCTGTCTGCCGGCCCCCTCCCGGGTGTCCGTCCTCCTCCTGAGCCTCCTCCCAAGCTCCCACCTATGCCTCCCTCTGTTGTTGCCTACGGTGCGAGGACGCACCTTCCGGGAGGGGG